CCAAGCCCCAGAGCAGAGCAGGCATCAGCCACTGCACACTACCGACATGACTGGGGACTCCAATTTCCTGGACTTAACATCAGAGGAAACTGGAGCAAAGCTCAGTGTTTCCACCCAGAGTGATCACAACCAACTTCATGGCTGCCCGTGAAGCTGACCTGCCCCATCATCCCTCCCACTTCGCTGGAAATGACATGACGTTTTCCTTCTGTCATCCCCTGACCATTCTGACCACAGTGCAAACTCTCCTGATTGCAGTTAGTGTTGGAGATAGCGCCCTATCCCCATCCACTCCAGATCTTTATTTCATTTACCAAGCTGTAGGCTGCTGGCCAGCTGCCTGCTGCCAAAGTCAACACCTCAGGTCTGCTTTGTCTGGGACAGTAAGTTACAGGGAGAGTGGGCCCTGAGATCACAGAGTTCTCTAATCCAGCCTTCCCAGAACCAGCAGGGGGATGGCCTAATGATGGCACAATGAGGGGCTTGCTCCTTGGGGTTTCCTGGTTTAGACTCCATCTTTGCAAGGATTCTTGTTCTCTGAAAATGAACCTGTATAGAGGAGTTAGACAGATTTCACTTGCCGTTAATAATCTATACTCTGTAAAGACTCCCCATGCATCAACTAAATACCTCCTCCCCACCATTAAACCGGAAGGAAAAACTATGGCAGTGGGTGGTGGTGGGTTTGGGTGCCCAAGCCTTAGGGGAAGAGAAATTTTAGGGGAAGGAACAAAACTGTGAGCTGCTCAGAGGCAGGGATCATGTTGTTTCTTGTGTTCCTATCTCCCCACACAGTGCCTGATACAGATATTTGCTAAAATGCAGCAATGCAAAGAATAAATGGGAGAAAGGGAGACCACAAATCCAGTGATGGAACAGAAAGTTTTGGGGAGAGGAGGAGGTACCTTTATAGAAAGTGAAATGACAAGTTGGAGGGGACAACTTAGACCTATGACTTCTAAGAACTAACAAATCACAACACACACACAATTTTCCTATTACACTATAACACAACATTTTGTTTTCAATGTAACATAAAAGCCATCAAGGTCTCTCCAGCTGGCTTGCAAATAGTCTGATATCCCTGACTCTGCTAATGGGCAAACAGAGGAATGTCTTGGCAACTCCTTCAAGTGGGAGTTCTGAGGAGAGAGGGAATGTTGTTGGTCTGGAGAAAGAGGACAGGAAGATTCAGGAAGATTCCTTCACATGCAAATCCATGCTGCAAGTGGGGGAGATGGGGGCTTTAGAAATAGTGACTCCATCCTAGGGAGGGACAGGCGCACTCCCCTACCTAAGATCCTAGACATATGGTTTCAATACTCAGTCTTGTTGAGGTGTGTGTGCTTTGCAAACGTTTACTTCCTCTGAGAGAGCCACCAGGAATTTGGCTTTTGCCAAAGGGTGCTATGTTTCATGTAAGGGGACTGTTGAGACAAACGATGTATTTGAATAACTCTGTGGACTAAGTTACCAGAGATAACATCAGGGTATTGTGGAGCAGGTCTGACCTCATTTCAGTTACATGTAGCCTATGGATTTCCCGCCGAAGTGGGGATATTAAAATTTCAGGATTTTCTTGTATCATTTAAACACAGTTCGTTTAAACTTGAAAATCATAAATCATCTCATGAGTCATTAGTTGGTATTCCAAGGAACTTTCTAGGTGCAAAAACATTTACAGAAACAATATCTGTATCTCCAAGATTAGGATCTCCTCATAAATCCCAAATCCTCAAGTGTCTGACAAGTAAACAAAGGTACAAAGTGTTCACCTGTCACAAACCGTCACCAAACAAACAGGAGGCAGAGTCAGTAAGCACTGGTGGCCCAGGGCCTGGTCCATTTCTTAGTCTAAACTAATTTGTCTGAGACAAACCAGAAAAGTGGAGACTTTGGGCTTTGACATGAAACAGATCTATGTTCCAACACAGCTATGTCATTTACTAGCTAAGTAAACTTGGCCATGACTTATTCTGGGTGAACCTCAACTGTGTCTTGTGTAGAATGGTGGAAACAAGACCTACCTTGCAGATTTGTTATCAAACTAGACAACATATATACATCAAAGCTTCTAACGTGAGGGAAAGCTCAAAAAATGGCAGTTACCATTGTGACTCAAAAACAAGGTGCATTTAAGAGGACTGGGTTGCCTTGTCCAAATTGCCTAGACCCATGGCACAGGTCTGAAAACAGTTCTAATACTCCCTTTGGGCTTTGAAGTGGCATGTGAAGGGAGAGAAGGTCTCTTCTGCCCTGGGACCCTCTTCCTAGGTGTTTGGGTCCGGTGTTTCGAATACCCTTCTCTCTGACCTGCCTGGACACAGAAAGATAGAACAAAGTCACATATGTACCTTCCCTCCCAGTCATTCATTCTAGTAGCCTCTTCTTATGGATTTATCAGGTCCCTAAATCATAGTCAAGATAGTATCACATAATATGATAGGAAAAATTATTTCCAAGTAATTAGTCTATTTTCTTATTTAGTTAATAGCATCATTTTGCAGGTCAGGAAAATATTGAAAGACAGTCTTGCCTGACTGAGGATGAACCATGGACATTAAGAAGAAAGTATGAATGTTTAATCAGTTCACAACTCTCTATCCTGTGAGGACATCTACACATTCCACACATCTGGTGCAAAAGTGTCTGAAGATATCTTTGTGAAAAGGCCAGATGATAGGAGATACCTGTGCTGCAGGGGAGGCTGAGACCCAGGGCCCAGGAACATGGGATACAAGTAGATGCCCATCACCAGGCTGTATCCTGCTCAGGGACACAATGAGGTTTATAAAAGAAAAATTACCTCTTCACCTAGCTACCTGAGTGTATCACGGTTTACTTCTTCCTAGAGTCATCCTGAAATGACAAAGTCCAAGGAGCTTGTTCACTCAGAAAGTAGCCTGGTTTGTCAGTCAAGGCAGAAACACTAGGTCTAAAGCCTTCATGGCCAGGAAGACTACAAAGGCCATGGTGACCTGCTAATTGGGTAGCAACCACGTTCATTCTGGATAAGCTACAGGGGGAACTAGGCAGGGAGCCTGGCGTTCTTCTTGCAAGGTGACTGGAAGCTGCAGTTCTGTGCTGGTGTGTCTGGCCCCTGTCCCTAGAGGCACTAATACTGTCACCCCTGGTGCTTAAGCTGGTGCTGGTGCTGGCTAGTATGAACAAGCGAGGTCTTTATGGACAACCGAGAAAGCTCTGCTAAAGCTACCTCTGGTGCCAAAAACCTAGTTTTCATTCCTTTGCCTTTTGAAGAGATTGTGACATCCACATCCCCTTACCAGGAATTCCCTGGTCTTCCTGCATAGACCACACCTCAGTCTGCTGCACAGAACCATGTCCCTGCTGTGCTTACTAGTGTTCTCAGAAGCAAAATCCAAGTAAACTAAATGGGGGAGGGATGGGACTGACAGCAAGTCACATTTCAACTGTAGGCCACTCTGTCACATATAAACCAGATCACCAGAGTCCTGCTGGCAGATGTCTAAATGTACTCTCTTTGCACTCCAAACAAAAAGAACCAAGTTCTCCAATAATTTGGAATGGTTTCTTGCTAAATGGTATAACGACTGAGTTCTCTGAGCCAGAAATACAAGTCAATCCACATTTTTGGAGATAATTTGGTGCCTACTCATGTTCAACACTATACACATATATTCAAGAACCTGCTGCAGAGACCCAGAAGAATGATCACATGTTCGCCCTGCCAACAAAATCTGTTTAGGGAGTAAAAGCAAAGGAGTAATCAATTTAGAGTATCTGGAGAAAAAATTTTGCAGAGAAACCTTGTAGTCTTTAAATGATTCATCAGATTTAACAGTAAGAACCTGAACTAGATTCTCCCCGGTCAACAATGGTCTCAGAAGACTCGTTAAACTATCTGTGAGAAGCTATAATGAGTGAGGAGACACTGATCTTGGGTAACGCGTTGCTCAAGAGACCATACGCGTTGCTCAAGAGACCATATGGATTCTTTTTTCCTGCCTCTCTAGGACTTGTAGGACAGGCTGTTAAAAAATGGAATTGCGCCACCAGGGAGGACTCTCTGGGTTCAGTGGGTTAGGACACAGCACTGCAAACTAGCCACAGCCGCGTCAGTGCCAGTTAGATCCCCGCCCCGGAGCTGACCCACATGGCGCGGCTGACCTCTCCTGACCGCCCACTACTCCCCTCAGCAGTGTACTTGGTTGATCTGCCTGTCCTGCTCCCCACTCTGTCTCTGGTGAATCCTCTCACTGCCCCTGCACCTCTGGCCTGTACCCCAGTTCTGCATGCATAAATAAATTTTTTTTAAAAAAGTATCACAGGATATGTGAAGTTGTTATAGTATGCCTAAGGGTCTAAGTGAAGCCAAAGTTGAGGTTTGGAACCCTCCAGGGCAAGATACCTGTGGAGGGACCTGTTGGAGAGAGAGGTCAGAGAACTCTCTCTCTGGTGGCTTAGAGGCAACAGTGCTGAAGCCAGTATTTTCTGTGTTAATTCAAGAACCATCCTACCAGCCTCTTGAGACTTACAAGAAACTTTATGACGGACTGAAATTACTACATGGTGAATGCTCACAGTGACCCACTCAAAGTCACAAAAACAGCAAGTGTTAAAGATGTAGGAATGTTAATCTAAAATGTATAATTAAAGGGCAAAAAATTTTTTTCCCTAAAACCTCTCAGGGGCTTAATCAGGTGAGACAGAGAGAAAGCACTCTTAAACAGCAGTTTTCAAGATAAGATTCCAATTCTCTGGGTCTGGGGTGGCACAAAAAGCAGCAATTCCAAAGAGGAGTTTGGTTTTGCACATTGGAAACCAGCACACCTATCACCCGATTAACTACTCCATAAAGCCAGGGTCCCTGGTGCTTTTCCTTCTAGTCCCAAATCAGAGGTCTGGTTTTCTCTCTCAGTCAAACTTATTTTGTGGAGGGTCTTGGGGCATACAAATATATGCAAATCAGGTATACATCAAAGTGTTAGCAGTGGTAATTCTGAATGACATGTGGCTTATTTCCCTTGTACTTTTATTTCTAAATTCTCTACACTCAGTTTCTTATGTTGTAAAACAACAATAAATTCATGTTCAAAAGATTGATGAGAAAAGATGCTTGCCAAACCAGTTTCCTCTTTAGGAGCTCAGCACAAGCACACACCCATCTACTGGACTCTCTGTGCCTGGCACCATGGACAGCAGTCAGGGGAGGGTGAAAGGGCAAAGTCTGGGACTGCCAGGGATCTCGTGTATGTTCTATACCAAGCTAACTGTTTCTGAAGCAATCACTGGGAAAATACAAAACCATTTCTAAATTTTTCTTTCTGTCCCCATCTCCAATTTTAGCGCTGAACCACCACTCAAAACAGTCACTTGCTCCTTTGTCCTTTTAAAGTGATTTATTTACTGTACAAAATATTTACACTATGACTGCAACTGTCTGGCCCTTTTGCCTGGCCCGACAATTTTGCAGCAGGGCTTGATCTCTGCTGAAGTTCTAGAAACATGCCGACACTCTCTATGGTGTTCACTTGGTGCCTGGCTCCTTCAAAGACACAAAAAGGTCAGAAGGTTAGCTGCCCCTCCAACCCCCACCCTCCGTACCTGGGCCACAGGGGCAAAAATTAAAGAACCAGCCAAAATAAGAACTGTGAATTTAAAAATTGCCCAAGAAATAACAAACACTTTTCCTTTTCTCTGAATATTGTACTTTCAACCCCCATTCTAGCTAGGATTAGGGGGGTAAAAGGGAAAAAGAAAGGTCAAAAAGAGCAAAATACTTTTGAACAGAACTAAGAGAGTGAAGTGGAGGGAAAATAGAAAACCACAACAGTACCAAAGGGTTTTGTTAAACAAAGACTCTGGGGCTAAGGGCGCAGCTACGCCAGCTGGTGCCCAAGACGCTCTGAAAAGCGCTATGACTAGTGCTTAAAATGACAGATCTAGCCAAGAAAATCAACTCACGCTCCAGCACCCGTCTCTGGAGAGCTGCTGGAGGGGAGACTGCAGAATCACGAGGGACAACTGCCAAAGACAGCAGAGCCGGTCCACCTGCCCCCAGCCGGGAACACCTGGGGCCCTGGGACAGCACTGCGTTGCCCAGGATGATGACGAAACTTGCCTTCTGACCCCAAGGGAAAGCGATGGGGTAAGCAGCAGCACCCTGTCCTGGTCCCTGAGGAGAGCAGTGACCACGTGGCATGGAGGACCCTGGGGCACAGAGGCCCATGCTGGATCTGAGACCCATGGAGGAGTGAGGTCAGCACCCACACCTAGGACAAATGACAACTGCGAAGAAATGAGGTCAGGCAGGAATGTAGCAGCTCAGGAGGGCTTGTTCCTTGTGACCCCTGGGAACAGAAGGGCTCAGACACGCTTCCTGGAGGCTGAGGCTTAGCCACGAGTCTTGCCTTCTCTCTGGACTCCGCACTTGCTGGTTTTGGCACGACAGATGGCTTGTAATATTCTCAGTTGAATGCCCCAATGGGAATAGTAGCTCGCAGCAAATCCTTCTTGAGAACAGAAATTTGGGAAGTTGATGAGATTTGGAGCCTTGAAAATGTTTTCATCCAAACTGTTGAAAGAGGATGCTGTCATCTTTCCAGAGGCAGCTGCAGGTTCTCTTCAATCATCGCACAACAGTGAACCTATCTTCCTCCCTCCTTAGTTCCTCTTGCTAGCAAGTGATGGAGGGAGGGAGATAACCAGGACAGAGAGGCATTTATTGTCAGACTTATCTCCTCTGTGCGTGTCCCAAGGTCCTGACCTGAAGGACCTGTCATAAGCACTAAACCAACTGATTCCTTTTCCCTTGCCTCAGTGCTGCCAGGGACCACCAAGCAAAGACAGAAATGGGGAGTGAGGATAGGCTATTCTTACTGTCCCTTACTAAACATTTTCTTTAGCAAAAAAGGAAAATAATCCCCAGCTCTTCCCAGTTGCATAAGCTGGAGGTTAAGTGGCCAGGCCCAGCCATACCTCACTGTAAAGAACAAACGCAGGAGAAGCATCAGTAGTCTCTGAGCCAGTCATGTGCCTAAACAGGCCCCTTAGCCCCAGAGCAGAATCACATTCATCACTGAAGGCTACAGCCCAGCTATCTTTCACATTCTTAGGTCTGTCTGTTTTTCTTACTGGCTCATACTCAAGAAAAAGCTCACACAGCTCTTCTTTGTAGGCTAATGATCATTTCCAGAAACACTTGCAGGGAAAGTTTCCTCTCCAGTTCTGACACCACAGAAACATCGTCCAGTGCTATCAGCCCCCGTTAGAGGTAGTCCAGAGTCACAGCCTGTGCCTGATGTAGCATGGAGGGACAAAGCTGAAGATTGCTCACGTGGGTCATCCTATTCATGCTTCTCCCGGCCCCACGTGAGAGGAGGTAATTAAGCTGTCCATCAGAAGGACTTACACACCTCAGGTCAAGTTGCAAGGGCCACGGAAGCGACCTCTAAGAGCATCAGCGAAGGCGGCTGAGGAAGGCGAGGGAACGCCAGCTTTCTAGATGAGCCAAAGCTTTTGTGTCATCTCCCGCGGTCACTCTAGTCACTCCCTCCACTGAGATCCTCTGAGAACCAACTGAAATTACAGCAGCACAGGCCTCTCTCTTCTCATGACTGAATGTGTAGCTCGAATTACGTACCATGCTAAAGTGACCAGTGGGGAAGATGGACAGGAAGGGGGCGAGGGAAGGACAAGGCTTGTAGGTGCCTAAATCCTCCAGACACAGGGGAGCATGCAGCACCTTCTGGCTGATGGTTATGTGTGTGTTAGGGTCAGTGGTTATGACGTCTGTAAGGTGCACCCAGATGCTCTGGAGAGTACAGGGGCCAAGTGAACGGCAGGAGTGGTCAGAGCATGCCAAAGCCCTCGCAGCCCTCGCTGATGGCCAGCTGCAGCATTCTGTGCACTTCTTCATACGAGTCATACGTAGGGAGGCACAGCTGGTTAAAACTGGAAGGGCAAGGGAAGAAGTGATTAACTTGTATTCCCAGAAACACGGGTGGGGGCTGCAAAGACAATCCCCCAGGAAGTCTGCACAGGCAGTCAGACACCTACCATGTATGTGCCGTTGGTAGCGTGCTGTGGGTGGGCGCAGCAATAATCTGGAATGAGGGGCAGAGGGCAGCAAAGCCTCCAGGTGGTAGCTGAGAGGAGCCTGTTGTGAACTGAAGTAGCCGAGCTAGCTCCTCCTGGGTCAAACTGGAAACCACAGTCCAAAACCACCTCATGACCTGGCAAGGAGAGCACAGTGCCAGTGTTACACCAGTAGGCAAGCCAAGATTTGACTGGTAGGGCAAAAAACAGACTAGCCTGAAATGGGGAAGGGGGTGTGCCCAGTTACTGTTCTCTATGAGGACACTGGGAGGAACATTTAGACTTGATGACAATCCCTGAACGTTGTCACAAAGTGAACAGGACAGTCACTGACTGCTTGGCTCTACTCCTGCCTTTCCATTGCTCCCGTGGCAGTCAGCATGACAGTTCTAGGGATCAGGCTCCCTCCTGTTGAGACAACCTCCCACATCTGATCATTTTTTCACATTTATCATTTCCCACATTTACCATTTTTTCCCAGTCAACATGTCTGCTCCTGATGTCTTGACTTTTCCCTCTGGGGCATCTTCCTCACAATACAGCAGAAATCCAACTAGCAAGAGCTTGGCCTACTTACCTTTTCTCTGAAATGCCATGAGCCTCCGACAACCACTGCATGGGCTTTGAAGTCAGACACACTGATGTCCCCAGTCCCACACATCAGCAGCTGGAGAAGAAAGTCAGGTATTACTAGGGCAGTCGGAGGGGCAAAGACCCAGCATCAGTTCAAAATGTCACTCTGCAAAGTGTGGGATAAAGAACACACCTAGAAAAAGGCTTAAGGTGGGGATATAAAGCCAGAAAACAGCTTTTGGAAAACCAGTTTCAACAGAACAATGGTTCCTAACTGGTAGGGTAAAATTCACACAGCTTTCCAAAAACACATAGGGATGTCTATGGTCTTACCCCCAGAATCGACTGAATCATAACTCTAGGAAAGGACTATGAGCTTGTGTATTTTGAAAAAGTTTCCCAAGCATTTCTGATGTACAACCCTAATTAAAAACTGCTGTTGTGGATTATTTTGAATTGAAACAAAGGACAAAAGACATTAAATTTATAACAGTCTACTCTGAACACAGCCTGGGGGGACCAGGGAGAAAAGGCAGGCCTTTCACTTTGCTGAAGACCCCCTGGCATTTATGAACTTGCAGATGGTCTTTCCTCTCCCCCTAGGATCCAGCTCTCCTTTTGTAGATTGCCCTTTTACTATCGCTCCTTCATCCCGTCTCTATTTGATCAGATAAATTTAAAAGTACACCAAGAAAAATAAAGAGATTAATGACATCATAGCACTAAACATTTTGTTGATGTCCTAACTTGGTTCAAGATCCAGTATGTTACTTAGCAGGCAATGAGAACTCATCCAACAGCTATAAAGAACAACATATTCTAATCAAGAGACAAGAGCCCAAAACAAGCCTGAGGAGCCATAGTTCCCGGGAGGGAACACGCTAAGCGAATGAATAACCCAGAGCAGGATGTAGACTAACTGTAAGACAGGAGTCCTCCTACTGACTTTCACACATTGTTACAAATGCTTTGCTTCATGATGTAACAAGACACCAGCAGCTATTCCTCAGTCCAAAAAATAATAGGATTAGGTAACCCCACTGTCTACCAGCAAGCAACTCAGGCTGAGAAATGGAGAGTGCACTTTGCTTGGATTTCATACTTGATGGTCCAAAATGTGATGAAAGTTGTATGAGACTTTGACTCTTGTTCTTGAAGAAATTGAAACTGCTTTTCTGTTCCCCACTTTTAATGTACTAATCTGGGTCATTTTAAAGACCTTCCTTACTGCGTGAGACAGTTTGCAAAAACATGCTCCTTAGAAAAGCCATGGAAAACCATTAAAACCATTAATTTGCACTGCATGTGTCAACTGTGAGCAGCAGGTAAAAACACATTTTATTTTTGCTCACACTTGTCATGAAATTCAATTTCGTTAATTATAGAATGGAACTTACCATCTATAGTTTCTTTCTTTCTTTCTTTTTTTTTTTTTTACTGTTACAAGATCTGAAATAAAATTATATATTGTTGTGGCCCCAAACTTTGAAATACGTCACCTCTCTTGGTTTGTTCCTTCATCAGAACAAGGCTCATGCAAACAGGGGTTTTGTCTTACTGCCATCTCCCCAATGCCTCAAACAGGCAATCACTAAATAAACTTTATCAGTTCCTTAAGCCACCTTTACTTGCCACTGGATTTGCAGACTGCACAGGGCACCAATCTGCTGTGTCAATATTCTTGAAGAATAAATAATTATTGATTGCTCTTCATAAATGGTCATTTATGTAGTTGGTTTCTAATGTTCACAATCTTAACTTATTAAAATCTGAAGAATGGATTAATATATGGAAGAAGTGACAAAGTGAAAACAGTTCTCGTATAAAGGGCTTTCCCAGCGCATCTCATAACTGAGAACACAAAGCTGCTTCCCTTGGGCATACTAAATGCCCATCAAGATATGTGCTGGCAGCTGTAAGCACTCACCTCAAGTTCATTTTCATCAAAGATAGCCAAAAGGTTCTCTGGGACCAACTCATTCAGGCCTGAAACAAAGTAGCCAAGTCAAAGTCATGTCTACAAGCAGATCCAGGTTATCTTTATATCTTCACCTCAAAGCCAACAACAGACCAGACCTTACCTTTCAGGAAATGTTCCACCTCCTCTTTCACTTGACTGGCCAGCCGATATTGAGCCAGTAAATTTAGATAGAAGATTTTATTTGCATTGGTGACTGGGGTTTGAGCTCCACCTGTCATGAGTTCTACAACCTGAAATAAGAGGCAAAAGATAGGGAGAAGCTGTGGGTGAAAGTTTATAAGGTAACATCTACCTGCTGTGTACTCAAAACATGGCATTATTTAATTCCACCATAGTCACAGGTTTCTATCCCTTAAAGAATACTCTCAGCAGTAAGATTTAATAAAGAAAACATGTTTTTTTAAAAAAAAGGACCAAGATCACAAATGACCTAAAGCTAGAGTGCTTACTATGGTGCTACTAGTCTTGCAGGGTTATTACGTTAAGTGGAAAGAAAAAAGAGAAATTTAGCTACTTAGTCACCCTAGCCACATTTTGGGTTTTCAAATAATTGCAAAAATAGGGAACATTTCTATCACTGAAGAAAAGTTCAGTCTGACAGTGCTGCTCTGGTGGCTGGGAAACGTGGAACCATCGTTGTTGGTCTTCTGTCTCACCTTATCCAACTGTCCTGACTTGTTATATTTCTCTTCGGCAAAGACCAGCTCCATCTCACTCATGTCATTGTTGAGGATGAAACAAACTTTAGATTTGTAAAATTCTGGGTCATCTGTTTCAAAATACTGCAGAGACAGGAAGACACAGAACAGGTCAAGACTCTTCCCAGAAATGAAAACTGTAACCACTTGCAACTCTCTCAGTTTAGGAATAATAAACTCAGAATGGAGAAATTCTGGAGTTAATGGCAAGGGGTGTTAGTAGAGAGTGCACACCTAAAATGTTACCTTGTAATGCATACGTAATCCTATGATTTGGGCCAAGAAAGAACGGGTGAACCGAGCTCGGACCAATTGCTTGTAGGCCCCTCCCAGAGAGGACTCATAGAGACACTTGCCCACCAATCTCCCGGCAAACTCATATATCTTTAAGCGAAGATGAGCAGGGCGATTGGGGTTGGGATGCACCTGCCAAAGAAAGAGATTAAAGAGCTCTGGGTTATTTTTCTTCAAGTCCAGTTCTGGAAAGGCCCTCCTTCCCCAACCCCACCCCAGGGGAACAAGAATTTCAGTACAAGGACCAAAGATCCCATCTAAACAGCATTAGTCTTTTGGTGGCCATCACTGAGTAAATCGTGACATTTACTCAGTGATGGAAAGAGAGCAAAGACACTTATGGCATGATGAAGATCTTAGATTAAATTTGTGCTTCCCGGCTGAGAATGGAAGCAATCAGTAGATGATGTGATGCTTTCTCCCTAACTGCTTTGGCCAAAGTTTACTTCTCTACTCCTGATACCTCTATTCATAGAGCTAGTACAGACTTCAACTGCTTCAAGTGTGTTTTGAGAAGGAACTGAGTTATTATAATAACTAGTAGGAATATCACTGCATTATAATGATTTTTGCTAAGTATTCATCTGTTAGCATTTTTCTTTATAAATGAAATAATGAAAGGCAGAGGGGAAGGAGGCAATCTCACTGGTTCATATTATAAGAATCACAATTAAAAACAAGGCACAGGTTGTGAGATTTCCACAACAGTGATGTAACCTAGAACACTTGTTAGTCTATCCACTATAACATAATCCACATTTCACCCTGCCATGGGGAATTCATACTTACTAATGCTTGGTTATTGTCACTGAATCGTGTGAAGAGCTGACTGGTGGTATCAAATAGTGCTTTGCAGATTAGCTCAAACCATTCCCGGCGAGGTCCTCCCCAGTCCAGAGCTGAAAAGTTTAGTAAAACTTTAATTATCGCCTCTTATCACGTTTGTTTTTTTATCCATTGTTCTACACTAACCACTCCTCTACCTTACTATTCGCCCATTCTGAGTAAGCTGAACTGTGGTCACTTTTTCAATCCCACCCCTGTCTGTAAGATTAAAGAATGAGAGATGTGATCACGAAGCTAGTGTCTCCTAGTATGGAAATGTAGACCAGAGAAACAGACATTTCTCTTCATTCTACGAAGGCTACTTGGTCTATGATTCAAACTCTTAAAGCGCTCTCTCTCCAAGGTTCTGCTGAGACTTGTTGCTCTATAATTTTCACCAAGCCATTTGGCCATGAAGCATCGCCCTTTTTGTCTTGACTCATGTCTTCTTAGTCCCTTGGAAAAGGAGTTTTTTGTCATCATTGTTTTTGATGGGGAGAGGAAAAGGGGGTTATTTTTTTACTTTTGGTGGAGAGAGGTTAGGAGATGGGTTGAAGCAAGGAGGAGAGTGAAAAAAAGGTGAATATGAAATTTCAAACTGACCTTCTTCATCTTGGAAAACCACCTCAAAGTTCTTACTCCAATCTGAGATGGAGAAATTACGAGTGGCTTTCAGAGACTGAAAGGCAATGAGAAAAAGGGAACTGTCAGAACACTGGTTGGCATCTTTTGGTTGTGAAAAACAAAAATGCAAGAACATTATCGTTCTCCATTTAATTAACCGGGAGGAGATACATTTCCTGTTATATGTTAGTGGGTGGAGGAAGAAACATATTACCTATAAATAAGCTTTAATAATACCATCTTGTATTTTATTTTAAATGTACATATGTCCAGAAGAAAGTTAAGGTTTTAAAAAAGAATCTAATTCAAGTCTACACCATTCTTGTTGCCAGAAAGATGAAGTTAACTTTTTTAATGTTCTTTTAATACTGAGAAAAAAACTTACATAAAAATATAAAAATGACCCAGATTAGTACATTGTCAGTACAAGAGCAAAGCAATCCTGGTTTCCAGTAAAGAACAGTCTGTCCACCAGGCATCTCTATCCACCAGGCTAGGTGCAGACAGGGAGTCATGCCACCCAGAGAATGCAGCTGAGAAAAGGGGCTTCCAGGCGCACCTAACAGAGCCAAATATCACAAACACTTTCTGGACAGAGACCAAACTTTCTCATTCTTGGGGAATGTAAGAACTACGCCAGTGTCTGCGCAGTGGAGACAGACACACATCAGGTGTTCCTTTCCAACAGACCAGAGTGACAACAAAAATTATTTCCTTTTAACAGAAGAGTTCTTCTCTTCTAGAGATTGAATAACACGAACCCTCTTCTGTAACATCTACTTACATATGCCCTACATAAGAATTGTGAGGTTGCGCAGGAGTTAATTCAATACAGATTGTAAAGCCAAATGTATTAACCAGTCTCTCCTCTCAGTAGCACAGGCCCAACCTCAGTGTAATGAAACACACTGAAGAACAGTCTAAGAGAATTTTAAAAGATGTGAGCAATATGAGTTTCATAACAGAGATAACCTACAGAATGTAAACAAACACTAAAGAGGTTTTTAGTTGGAAAACACTGGGAACTCTTGACGGAGATGAGACTTTTACTCACTGACTCCAACAAGGCGTGCCTGCTGACCTTCAGGGTGACTTTGGAATGTGGTCTTTTCATATGTACCTGTCGAAGCTCTCGTTGGAAAAAGTTTACCTTGTCCTGAAAGGTCTCAGAGCCTCCTGAAGAGAAGCAAGATCCACTGTGAGTTCAGCCTCGTGACAAGACATCTGGCAGGTCCTCTACCCTCAGACACTCAGGGCAGCAGGGTCACTGTCTCCCCCCAAGACCTGTGAACAGCCTTACCTATGTTCTTATGAAGGGAGCGGATGAAAGTGGCAGCAAGAATGTTCCTCTCCTTACAGCTGAGCTCCACAGGAGGCTGAATGCCATCGTCTACCACCAGCGTCAGGAGCTTATGGACAGGGTCAGGGCCAAGGTAAGAAAACTGACAAAATTAAAAAAAAACAGGGAGTTAGTCTATAAAACCTTCAAATGCAGCAAAATCTATCCAGACCCCTATCCATTTTTTAAAGTAAATAAACTTTTATTCCTATATGAAAGTATATTTCAAAATTTTTAAGCTTATGAGTATTATCAAATTTGATATAAAAGCTTGCTTTTTTTGAATGGAAAAACTGAAAGTACCTACATTAATCATATTGTTACTCATTTTTGCCTGCCAGAAACAATTGGAAAGGAATTATGTGACTATAACAAGGTTAATTTGCAGTTCAGGAGGTCAAATCAACAAATACTATTTTGTAGCCAGCTTGTGTGTGTATGTGTGTGTTTCTGCCCTTCTGCAACAACTAATGAAACAAGCTAAGCCTGCTTTTTCCAAGAAAATACATAGCAGGAGTACATCTCCTTGTTTTTCATCTCAGTGCTCTACAACACAAGTTTTACTTTAAATCATGAATAGCAGAACCTGCCTTCAGTAGGGATCACAGGCAACACTACAGATCTTCCAACATAAAACATAAGGGTAAAGATAACAGGGATATATAAAATAGCAAATGGCTACCTTGAGGAGGTTGGACAGACTGGCTGGAGGAAAGTGATTTGCCTTTAAATTTCAAAAACTCAGAAAAGCTATGAAAATTTTCTAAATATTTAAGAACACTGATTCTAAAAAGAAATAGCTTCAGCACACTGAGATTTCAAGCCAGAAATACTAACACAAACTCAACTAACTTAGCCTTTGGGGCAAAACATAACTATTCTGGGTTGCTGCTGAATCCTGTTTCTCCAGGTACAAATCCTTCTAGAATATATATATTCTTCATGTATTTTGTGAGTACTAACTCTTACTTTATTGAGCAACGGATACCATAAGCACAGTGAGAACTTCTCCAAACACCAAAAGCCCAACTAGGGAAACAGCAGCTACTAAGGCATACCAGGGTTGAGGTCTACTCAGCTTGATCAACTTACTTTTGTTCCTGGGCACACTCGGAAGGTGTAAAGGCGCCAGGGGATGATTTTCAGGTAGAACTCCTTCACTGAGAATTGCTGAGGACCAACAAAGAAAATGAAGTGAATGAAAAATAAAAAGGATCCATTTAGTACTGTACTTCAAATATCATAGTGCCTATCTACATGTCTTGTGATAATCTTTTCCTTTTAAAGACAAAAAGAACAAATTGGACCATACTGAAATCAAATAAATAACACTAACTCTATCTCGAAATAAGCAAATCAAAACTACTACTCTGAAAATACAACTGCATACTGCTTATCACCTAAAAATTCAAATCTTATTGCCGTATCTAAATATATGAGATCAGATCTCACCTATGAGTAGAGAACATTTCCCCTAAAACAATTAAAATCTTCTGTTCAATTAGGAGCTGCTCAGAGAGATTTCCTCCACTTTGGCAGACAAGCAACAACAGTGGTCATACTGTTAAGGGGAAGGATGGCCTATAAAAGAACTCTGCAGGGTCTCGTGGACTCCACCCCTATTCCAGCTTTCTGGATTCCACCCCCTACTCCAGTGATTGGAAACTACAACTCCCAGCAGTACCAAGAAGAGAACTGCGAGGACCTAAGGGCAGAGCAAAGCAGGAATTCCGGGATTTCGGGGGATAATAATTTATCCTCAAGTGGTTTTCCAACTGACACTCTGGAGAGGCAATGGCTCTCTCTTTCTGGAGCAACTGCTCTCAGACCGTGTGGCTGGGGCTAGCAGCGTTATTTTGAGACTAGAGCTCCAAGTTAGCTGGCTGGTGAAGTATTCCAGGTACTTTGTATCCCTCTCTCTTTCCCTGGGTTGTTTCCTTTCCCTTTCCCCTTTTTGTAAGTAAACCCATCACCCTTTTCTGTATGTGTCTGCAGAAAGTTACATTTTGAGCTTGCGGGTGAGGCCCCACAGGCAGGCAGCCCAAGTCTACTCTAGGCTACCCTGTAACAATACCCCAACTCATCCCTAATTGGAAAGGTACCAAGGATTTGCCAGGAAAGAGGAGGTGGGGGGCTGGGAGCATGGGGATGGGGAGTGATGGTAGTCTCATACCAAGAGGGCCATAAAAATCCTTTAGGTTCTTGGCTGGGGGAAGTAGAGTGGAGTTGGGGTTGAAGGATGGGAAAGAAGAGAAAAAGAAAAAAATCCCATGGGGCTCTCCCTGGTGGTGCAATGGGTTAAAGCACCGCATTAAGAAGTTCTCTGAAGCCACTGCAGCACAAATTCAATCCCCAGCCAGGGAGCTGACCCATATGGCATGGCAGACCTCTTCTGACTTGCCCACTGCTCACTGCTGGCCTATACCCTAGTTCTGTAAGCATAAATAAATAAATCTTAAAAAAAAAAAAAAAAAGAAAAAAGAAAATCCCTTAGATAAGAAAGAAAGATCCCTTTATAGCATTTAATCTAAAAATGTTATCTAGACATATAGTAAGTCAGAGTTTTTCTTGATTTTTAAAAATCTTTTCATTACAGAAATTATACATACACAAACTAAAAAAGAACAAATTGTATAGTGAACCCATCATTAGCTTCAACAATTATCAATTCACAGCTAATTTTGTTTCATCCTTAACCCATCATTTAGCCCATTACTAACTCTCCAAGCCAAATAAAGACTAAATTTTCAAATGATGAATAGTAAATAGCAAAAGGTTCTGAAGTAGAATAGAATTAGAACTAGAGTTTTGGTTATGTAATTAAAGGGACATAATAGGATGTCTCAAGAATCTCATTTTTCTGATGTCTGAATGAAAAACCAAAATACAAATATTAAAAAGAAAATCTCTAACACAATGTGCCTCTCAGCTCAGGGGCCTTGGGAAATTCACCCCTTTGTCGCTGCCAGAATTTCTCTATTCCAGTCCTGTAGCCTGATAGTGACATCCACTTATTGTGGCTTCACAAATCACAGAATGAAAGATCAAATTGTTTTGAAATAGCACAAAGGGCCAAACAGAATTTTTACACAAATTCTGAAAAAAAAAATTTAATAATTAAAGTAGTTCTCTTTAACGCTCATGCCTTGAAAACACTTCACAAAAACCATCAAAGGGTAGAATGGCACAGGTGCTCTAAAGCACCAAGGCACAGAATTACAGGCAGAGGCTGAATCGAATCCAAAACACACGTGCAGCAGCAGATGTGGCATGATCTGCCTAAATTAAGGGCCTCCCTTGGTGTCTAAGGAGCACTACAGAAATCAGTGACTTTGCCGTAACTCTCAGGCTCTCAGTTTGTAGTGTTTGTCACCAAATCTTCCAAAACCCCCCAGTGGCTGCCTGAAAGCATGTGCGTATACACACATACACTCGCCGTCTTTCACACACACACACACACACACATACACACACACACACACACACACTTTCCCCTAGCATACATACTTATAATAAAATTTAATTTGTAAATTGGGCAGAGAAAAATTGACAATTCTAGAAGAATATAACAACATATATAACAAAAGTTATGTGAATATTGTCTCTTTCTCAAAGTATCTTAGTATGCATGTACTTTTTTAAAGATTTATTTATTTATTCATACAAAACTGGGGTGCAGGCCAGTGGTGCAGGGGCACTGAGAGAGTGCCCAGAGACAGAGTGGGGAGTAGAACAGGCCGACTGACGAAGTACACTGCTGAGGGGAGCAGCGGGCGGGTCAGGAGAGGTCTGCCGTGCCATGTGGGTCACCCCTGGGGCTGGGGATTGAACTCACGCTGAAGTGGCTTTAGCTTCAGTGCTGTGCTTTAACCTGCTGTGCCACCAGGGAGGGCCCTGCTGTGCATCACTTTTGAAGGAACTGCTGCCACTGACCAGGGCTAACTAAAACCAAGGACAGCAAAACGGTAGCTCCAGAGGAACAGCTATGCCAACTTTGTACAAGCTCTGGCAAGGGAATTCTGAGGCAAGAATGGAGTCCCTACCTTTGGTGACACATAGCAGTACACCTTCTTTGGCTTCTTCACCTTCTCAGGGGTGTGACACTCAGACGGTGAATCTTCATCTTCCTCCTCAACAGCAGTGGAAGGCCGGCGCTGGGAAGAACTCATGTGCATGGGTGGGAGGTGCCATGGTGTGCTGGTACAGTTGGTAGCATTATAAAGATAAGCCTCAAAGTAAATACTCACTCCTGAGGTGGACACATTGCGTTCGACAATATTCTTCTCAGTCTCTGAAGTATATAATAAGGAATAAGGTTTAAGGTAGGAGTCAGGGAGGAAAAATTACCTATCACTAGAACTTGAGTTTGCAGGGCTGTAAGCCAAGTTTGGTTCAAATATCAAATTCTTGTAAAGTTGATCAGAAGGGAACAGACATGCAAAGAACAAGTGGCCTGGAAATAGGCCTAAATCGTAGCTTTTGTTTCAACTCACCACTCAGAACAATAATGTCAAATTCGCCATTATTGATTGGCTGACTTTGGTATGAAATGCAGGCATGGAAGCAGCCACGAGAATGCAGGGTAAGTCGCAAGAACACCTGGCAAGTCTGTCTGTTGGATGTCACTGACTTCTCAAAGGAGACTCCAGTGCTTTCTTCTTCTTGAGGACCAAGCTATAGGAGGAAAATAATGCATCATCAAGCACACATAATGTTTCCTACCTGCAAAGTGACTTAACTCTTCCCAAAGAACTTTCCTTTCTATGAGCTAATCTCACAAGCCTCACAGTCACTGAAGTCAGATGAAGGAGGCAAGAAAGGAATTAGAAAGGGGAAGAATGACAGAAAGGACAGAGAAAAAAGGGAGGCTGCTTACCTCATGAATGGACAAACTGTAATTGAGTTCATCTCTCAAGGATGTGGAATTGTTGGTAGGGTTGTCATACTCATCTCGAGGTACTATTTGAAGGGTGTGTGGCTGCCCACAAGTTAACACAAGAGTAGAAAAATGGCATACTATTTTAGTCTTGGAAGGAACCACCATTCCTGAAACAAAGACAATGAAATCTAATGCTAAAAGATGACAAAGCCTCAGTGAGCCCTATATACAGAACAGGGCTGCTGCCCAATTCCTGGGGATAAACAATACCAGTAAAAGGCAAAGAAAAAAAGGGAAACAGATCAATGCAAATGAACCTGGGGGGTGGGGTTTCATTCTTACCAATTCCTAACCACTGTACTCACTAAACAAAATTAGAAAATAACTTGGAGAAAACAGAACTGAGAATTATAGCTATAGTGATTAGAGTCCCACTGGAAACCTGCAAGGAGGCAAGCCTTTAACATAAGCACTGAAATACTGTTACATGTCACTTTAATAACACATGTGCAGACTTATATGTTGAAAAGTACAAAACAATGAAAAGTTCACAGAGTCTAAATTCAGAGGTGTTCATGTTTATGAACTGGAAGAGTCAACAGAGTAAAGATGTCATTCACCCAAATGAATATACAAGTTTAATCCAATTCATGTCAAAATTGCAACGTGATTGTTTATACAGATAATATTACTTTAAAATTTATGTGGAAAAGCAAAAGACCTAGAATAGCTAAAATAATTCTGAACAAGAAAAATAAAGTGAGAACACTCAGACTATCCATTTCCTTTATTATGTACCTAACAGCAATCAAGGCTCTGTAATGTTGGTGGAGGGACAGAAACATGGAACAATGGAACATCTGAGAACCCAGAAACAGACACCCCCCGATATGCAACTTTGACATAGTTGCAAAGCAATGTAATAGGGGAAAGAGAGCCTCTTCAACAAATAAATGATGCTGGAACAAGTAGGCATCTATTAAAACAAACAAATAGACCTTGATCCAAATCTCATATGTAAATATTAAGTAAAAATGGATTATAAACTGAAATATATTAAAAAAAAATGTTTAGAAATAGGCCCTCTCTGGTGGTGCAGTGTGTTGAAGTGCAGCACTATGAAGTTATCTGCAGCCACTGCAGCATGAGTATGAATTCAATCTCCAGCCAAGAAGGTGACCGTGTGGTGTGGCAGACCTCTCCAGTCTCACCCACTACTCCCCTCTGCAGTGGATTTCAGTCAATCTGCCTGTTCTGCTCCCCACTCTGTCTCTGGTGAATCCTCTCACCTCTACCTCTGGCCTGTACCTCAGTTCTTGTATGCATAAATAAATAAAATCTTTTTTTAAGGAAATGTTCAGAAAAAATAAATATGAGGAAATCTGCAGGATACAGAAAAGAATTCTCAGATACCAAAAGCATGATCCAGAAAAAGATTTTCACCAAAATTAAAAACTTTTGCTCTATAAAGACCTTCTTAACAGGATAAAAAGCTAAAAATTGAGAGAAGTATCTGCAAACTATTTATCTAATAAGGACAGGTATGCAGCATGTATAAAGAAGACTCAAAGTAACAGGAAACAGCCAAAAAATCCAATTACAAAAGACACTTCACCAAAGAGGATGCACAGAAGGCAAATGAATACATAAAAATATGTTCAACATGGTTAACCACTAGGGAAATGTAAATTAAAACCACCACACACGTATCAAAATGGCTAGAACAAAAAGTAGTGACAATATCAAATGTTGGCAAGGGTATGAAAAAACTGCTAGTGGGAATCTAAAATGCTAAAGGCACTCCAGAAGAGCTTGGCAGTTTCTTAAACCCAGTAATTGCATTCCTGGGCAATAAAACCAAAGGAATGAAGACTTAAGTTCATACAAAAATGTGCACATGAATGTTCACAGATTTATTCCTAATAGTCAAAAAGTGGAAACAACCCAGCTGTCTTTCAACTGGTGCATGTTTAAACTGTGGTACATTCACATCGAACCACCTCGATAATTCTCCAGAGAATTATGTTGACTGAGAAAACAAGGTATGGAATCAAGTGGTTATATACTGGATAACTCCATTTATGCAACATTTTTAAAATAACAAAACTGTAAAAAAGGAGACTAGATTCATTATAAAAAGGCAAAGAGAAGGATCCTGTGGGGGGTGAGGGGAGATTGTTTTGTACCCTGACTGTACAAGCTGGCTGTGATACCGTACCATAGTTTTGGAAGAAGTTACCATTGGGGGTCAATGGGCCAAGGATACACCAGATCTTTCTAAATTATTTCTTACAACTACACAAGGACTGACAATTATTTCAAAATAAAGACTTTAATTTCAATTTAAGAAAAGGTGGCAAGGAGGCAGGCAATGATATGTAGAGAGAAACCTGTGAGTGAGGCACTGACTGAAGCAGAGAAGGGGAGCCACCTTGGCCAGAGTTGTCTTTTGTTATAAGAGAAAGAAAACAGAGGCTCAGTCAAGGAAAAAGATCTTCTGAAGGCCCCTTTCGTTATGTTTTGGTTCCCAAAGTTTCCTAGGGACCTCTCATGGATCCCACCCTGGCCACTGTCTAATGATACCCCCAGAAGGAAGCCAAGGCAGGGCCCAGATACAACACGACTGGGACAGCTGATAGGCTGAGGAGCCAGGAGGCAGAGATTGTACTTTTGGGTTTCAAAACCAGTGAGCATTTGTTATTTGGCATAAAAGACATGAAGGGGGACAAAGAGTAGAGATCAAGGTCTTGATTCTTAAATACCAGAAGCTTAAGCAGATACTCTTCAGTGAAAAGTAAAACACACTAGCAGAAAGGGTGTAACTAAGGTCAAGGTGCTTTTATTTGAATAGATTTCAAAAAACCAGGAGAATTTACCTGTTGTCTGTTCTGGCATCCTTATTCCTAAGAACTTACCAGCTAATAACCCAGCGTTTCCACTACTAGAGAATAAAAGCATACTTCCACACCATACACAAATGTTCACAGCAGCAAAATATCCATCAGCTGATGAAAAGATAAAAGCCAGTATAGCCACACTATTCATGCTGCAGTACAGGTGAACGTTGTATGGCATTATGTTAACTGAAATAAGCCCACCACAGAAGGTGAAAGATTTTATGATGACACTTATATAAAATGTCTGGAGTAGGCAAATCCAGAGCAAGTTGCTTAGGGGTAAAGGGTTTTGGAGGAGGGGGGTGGCGGGCGGTAAGTGGGTTTAGGTTTAGGTTTCTCTTTGGAGTGATGAAAATATTCTAAAATTAACTGTGGTAATGGTTGCGTAACATTATGCATTTTAAAAACCATTAAATTGTATATTTTAAATGATGAGTAATAATGTCAGGTGAGTTAAATCTCAAGAAATGTATTAATTGAAAAAAAAAGACAAAGACAAAGGAAGAAAGGAATAGAGGGAGAGAAAGAAAAAAGAACCTACCAGGCTGAAAAATTTTGTAGTAGGGACTGTAGGCCACATTTAGTCCACCAAGCTTCACTGAGATCTCGTAACGTCCAGCCTTGCGTACAGTGAAGGCCACCTTGACCACGTTGGAACTGGGCTCCTGTAGGACTTCCTGCGTCACTGGAATTTCCACGGCTAGCTCCACGTGAGAAATGTGAACTCGCAGTCCCACAGGCCGGTGTGCGGGGAAAGGCTGCCCATTCTTGTAGAATAACTGCAGTGGGGGCAAGGGTACTCAGTAGTGAGCAGGCGGAGAAAGTTGCCTCCAGTCTAACTCGAGAGTGTAGGGAAAAAGGAACTAGCTGGCAAATCCCAGTACCCATCGGCTCCTGCAGTCCTGCTCACAGAAACAAATTCTCCCAACATTTCTGAGGAAACCACTAAATCTCAAGGCTTCAAAGAAAACCACTAAACCTGTTCTGAGAACAGGGATAATTTCAACTTGACATTTCTGAACCACAAATGCTGTCTCCCTGTCTCAGCAGCCCTTCCTGTTATAATATACTGCTAACCAAATGTAAAGTTAAGTCATCAGGTACCACTGGCACCAAGTGAACGCACAGTCAGCCAGCAGGGTGGCTCAGGATATAGCAAGTCAAGCAGAGTAATGCAGTGGAGGTCACTCCGGGAGGGTGGCAAACTTTTTCTGCCAAGGGCCAGAGAGTATATTTTATTTGGCTTTGTGGGCCATAAGCAACTACTCAACTGTGATTAACTACTCATGTGCAGTCCACACAGCATGATGAATGGGTGTGACTGTTCCATTTAAACTACATTTACAGAAGCAAGGACTGGGCCTGACTTGATGCTCAGGTCAAAGTTTGCCAACCCTCCCTACCCCCTCTGCAAACCCTTCTCTTCAGTAACATTTTTCTTTTATTTTGAAGAGGTAACATTAAGCTTCACCCATCTTCAAAGCTAAACACCTATTAAAGCACCAAATTCATGATTTTTCAGATATTAACCATTGCCAAGTCTCTGGGAGGAGCTGAAAAACAAGGGAAATACTAACAATCTAGGCCAGCACCACCAATTGAATGAACTGGGCTCTGGAAAGCAAGTGACTCAGAAAACCCAATGGGTATGGAGACAGAAACATTCCCTTACATGCACTCGGAAGGCCATGCTGTGGCCCACCTCATAGGGGTCCTTCCAATCCCAGGAAACTTTGCAAGATCGGGGATCCAGGTAATTTCCCCGCACGTAGTCATAAATAGTCCGGTCCCCTCGGCGCTCGCGGTCCTCATTCTGGAGGAAGCTGACTACACGTGCGGCAAGCTCAAAGAGGAACTTAATTGTGAAGAAGAATGCAACCACAGACACTGTGATTCCACCTACACAAAAGAGAGAACACACATGCCACCTGCCAGTTACACATTACATAATTCTCATTATGGAACATCGCTCAAAGGTTAATGGAAGACAGGATGAGAAAGCAAGACTTCCTAAGAAACACTCTGCCGGATCAAAACCTCTGTGAGTGAAAAGAGGATCTTCTATACCAGGGTCAGGAACTAGCTTCCTCAGGCCAAATCCCACCCACCACTTGTTTTTGTAAATAAAGTTCACAGGATCACAGTTCCACCCATTCATTTCCATATTATCTAGAATCAATTTTGCCTGAAACTGGCAGAGTTCAGTAGTTGTGACAAACTGTATGAGTTGAGAAGGCAAAAATAATTACTCTCTGGCCCCTTATAGAAAAGCTTGCCAATCCTTGTTCTATACCTTGGGCCACATATAAGACCTGCCTCCACCTGCCTGCCTCCACTGAGCCCTCACAGAAGTAGTAAAATGAATGTACACTCTACACTCTCCATTTGGAAGCCTTCCCCCCCCCCCCCCACCCAGTCCACTTGGCAGAAGTTGTTCCCAATCCCCACCAGAGTTAGGGGTTCCCTCTTCGAGGCTTCCTCAAACTACTATACATTTACCTCCTACAACTTTTCTCCCCCCTTGACCATCTCCCCTTTCATGTCATGAACTCCCTGAAGGCAGATTTTTGCCCTATTTGATTCGCCTTGAAACAATGTCTGACACTGACTACAAATTACTCGGTAAATATTTCCCAAATGAATGAATTTCAACAAATGCCAATTCTGTGAAGATACATTCTGGCATGAGTGGAAAAATGTCTGTCTATTTTCCAGGAGAAAGGGAATAGACAGGAGGCAAAAAGGATGTAAACAACCCTAGCAAAAAGATAATGAGAAGAGTTCTTTCCATAACATACCAATAACGTAAAACATCAGGTCCCTTCAACGCCCACAGACAGCCAAGGATCACAGCTGGAACTGCAAAAGAAAACTTGCTTAGTTTTTTTTCCTCCAACTCTTCCTTGCAGCCATCTCAGAGAGAGACAAAGTAGACTATATGGACTGAGTGAAACATCTTAAACTTTACTCTCCCTTCTCCTTGCTCTAGCTTGACCTCTGACCTATTACAGAAAAACAGACTGCATCACATCCTGAAGATTTCCGATGTACTGACTACCCTAGGAATGCCACAGTCACTTGCTTTATTGCTAATTACAAAATGCAATAACACGACTTTCATCTTCTAAGAGCCAGGGTCCCAAGATAGTTTCTCTCCCCCATGTAAAGTGTGCTAATTAACACAAGCCAAGAGAACAAGGGAGTCAGTTTCCTCTTATATTTGCCTTCTGGAAGTAATTCATCTAAGTAGAAATAGAATGTGGATTTTTAAAAAACAAATATTATCATCACATTAGCATTATGTAATTAAAACGAACCCTGGATAATCCCAATAATAAGCAGTGAGCATATAAGAAGCCATTTATGCTGTTTCCAATCAGACAAACTAATGGGCCCCATGGAAGATAAACTCAGCAGAAAGGTCAATGTAATGAGCAAAAGGAAGAGACTATAGTTCTCATTCTATGTGATATCTTAGGCCAGAACAATTCAAACAGGGATCCGAGTCTGAAGGAAAACTTTCCTGTTATTAAACCTGTTTCTGTGATAAGACTTGCCAATCTTCATTATTCATTTTAACTATCCAAGGTATTGCCAAGGAAAAAAGTAGCATACATTGCTATTTTATCAGGAAGTTTTAGCCTCTGTAAAGGTTGTATATACTCTGTTCTGTATCACACTGAATTCATCCTTTCTTTTTAAGTCAGCACACACTAAGGTCACCAATGTTAAGCTCAACCCGGCAGGTTTTATCAGCACAAGACCTATTACTTAGAGACAAGACAGCTCAGCTTTGAGAGGGAGAAGAATAACTGTTTTGTTTGTTTTCTTGCAGGATGGGCTTTTTTCATGGGCTTTATGTCTGATTATGTTAGAAAATTTTAAGCAAGACAGGAGATGGCAATTAGTTCCTTTGAAAATAATATGCCTAATGAAATCCAGACATAGTAGGCACATTAAGGAATAACTGTGTCAAAGAATCACAGAAATCCCTATTTACACTGGTGTCTGAAGTCCTATCAGATGAGAAATCCATATACAGAACATTAGCATCATCAATATACATAGATTAAGCTGTTCTCAAAAGGGACTATTATAAAGAAATAATAATCAGGCCCAAAATTTGGAATCACAACTACTGAACCTCACTTCCAAACATATCTCCTCTCCCATTATCCTCTGCTGAAAGCTGCTATCATCTCTCAAAGATCTTCTGTGCACCTTATAGGACATGCTAGATGACTTAGTAAACAAAACCAGCAGTTAAACTGTCTTAAGCACTCCCTCAGTTGGATACCACCCATCTGATCCTAGATGTGAAACTTCTGATCCTCAGTGAGTTTATAACACTCAGCTGAAAAATGAAGAACACATGACCAGCGTTACAGGGCTTGTGGCTCAAGTCTCTTGCTCCTTGGAGACATAAACAATGCCAAATTTATGACACATTTCATCAGGGCTAAGAAAATTCTTGTGCTCTACCTCTGATGAATACAACTTTTCTGAGAGAGGCAGCTGATAAGCAGCAAGTCAGATGCTTAGAGACCAACCCCAGGGCTATAACAAACTGTGTGACCTGTCTAGATACCAGAATACGCAATGCTGTAAAGAGTTAAGATTTCATCATTTCTACAACACCATCTCCTTTAGTGTGATAAGACTCCATGAAATCTTTTCTGATCCTCTATTTAAAGTCCCCACTCTTGTCTGACCTGCTATACTACTTTATTATTTCTCTTACAGCACTTTATTTTTAGTCCCTTGTTTGCTTTACTTTCCCTTTCGGAATTGTCAATAAAATGAGCCAAAAGCTTAATCTTAAAATCATTCCACAGCATCCATCTGCACATAATATGCACCAAATAATTTATTTTCATTAATTGTATTAGTTGTAGTTAAACATGAATAATATGCTGAATGAATAGTCTTTTCTGGGCTTCAGAATTAGACATGGGCTTGAGACTCAGCTCTGTCACTTAACCAAGTAGGAGATGTTTAGCAAATTAACTTTTCCAAGGCCAGCTTTTTTTTTTTATCTTTAAAATTGTGCTTATATTACCAAGTTGTTGTCGGTCACAGTCACTTATGAGGCTAACATATGTAACGCGCATATGAGGTGTTTGCCTGGTGACACAATGTATCTACGATTCTGCTAGCTTAGAAAGTCACAATTTCACAAATTGTCTAAGAAGCCTAAGGATCAGGAATTTTACAGACAGGACCTTCTTTTTAGAGATCATTTTTTAAAAACTGCTCTAATTAGCAGAATATTCACTTGAGCCAGGGGTTATAAGCTTTTCATATCAAAAGGTTCCAAGAGACCTCAATTCTACAAGTACATTTCAGACACATACTTCTACAGTAATGGGTTCTGAGGCATGGCATGGACTCTAGTTTTATGGTCCTATCTTGAGCATTATTTTTCACAACAGTCTATCCCGTTTTCCATTTTTTTGTTGCTCACACTTCTTCATAAAAATTATTTTGGAATTCCTTCCAGGTCTAACTCAAGCAGAAGTAGTATGCTAAACTTCTACCACACTATTTCATACAATTCAGTCACTTGAGTAGTCTGCTTCAAGGTCATCTCTTTAGTGTCCCTGCCTCAGACAATCTGTCAAATTGTGACTCTGTAAGCTAGCAGAATCATAGATACATTGAGTCACCTGCAAACACCACATATGCGCGTTACATATGTAAGCCCCATACGTTAACTGTGACAGATAACGACTTGGTAATAAGCACGATTTTAAAGATCCAAAAAAAAAAAAGCTGGCCTTGGAAAAGTTAATTTGAACATCTCCTAGCTGGTTAAGTGACAGAGCTGAGACTCAAGCCCATGTCTAATTCTGAAGCCTAATTCTTAACTGAAAACAATATTGAATTGTGAAAAACTGATGGACTCAACAGTTTTGGGAAGAGAAATTATTTAAGAAAGAAGTTACAAGAAAATATGAAAAACATTACCCAATCTTACTGTGAGGAATCTTACCATGAGGCTAAAATTAGAAAGATAAACACTTACAGTCCTTTTTAATCTTTTGAAATAAAAAATTAAGCATGACAAAGGAAAATGGAATGCAGTGCCAATTACCTAATGCACAAATAGCACTTGCTTACAAATAGATCCTGGAATTGCTTAATACCACAGCACTTGGCTCAAATTCCCCACAAAAGTCAGGGAAGGAGGAAATACTTAAAAATACCTGTATAAAGGGGAGTGCTAGTTTGATGGTTGACTGACATATTTATATTATTACATAAATATACACACACACACTCTGCTTTTATTGGAGTATAGAAGTTTATAATGATGACATCAAATAAAGTTTAGCCCTAACATTGAAGATCATGCTAAAAGAAGTAATTTCCCAGAAGTGGAGAATTGATTTCTTCATATTCAAAAGTTGTCTTGCTCAGAGGGGTGGGCGTGAGGGGCAAAGTCAATTCTAATTGTAACTATGCACCTTAATAGCTATCCCTTGCTGAGAAGGGTTAGCAAATAGAACTTGAGTCCATGTTTTGCATCCCACTAACAAGTGAATCTTTTTTTTTTTTTTAAAGATTTATTTATTTATGCATACAGAACGGGGGTACAGGCCAGAGGTGCAGGGGCGGCGAGAGGCTTCACCAGAGACAGAGTGGGGAGCAGAACAGGCAGATCAACGAAGTACACTGCTGAGGGGAGCAGCGGGCGGGTCAGGAGAGGTCTGCCACGCCATGTGGTCTCCTCCGGGGCAGGCGGGAATCGAACTCATGCGGAAGTGGCTTTAGCTTCTCAGTGCTGTGCTTTAACCCGCTGCGCCACCAGGGAGGGCCAACAAGTGAATCTTAACTAGTCTATGGTCTTACCTTTAAACGAGGGCCCATGTTCTGATAACGCAGAGGAGCACTTCTATTCGCCAGAGCAGGTACTTTTGGTTGCTGTCACCTTGTCTTCAAGATTCCACATGAAAGAAAATAGCTGCAAGGTCAACAAAAAGTGTCTGTCCATCAGACCTTTACTGAGGGTGTGTCACATAAGCAGGACTGTCAATGTTCTGGAACAGACTGCATGAGTTCCAGGGTGGAGAAATACAGCCCCAAAATATATCATCCCTGGACCTCTTTCAAGTGCAGGGTCCAATCAATTGCCAAACGATGCATCTGTTCTGCTGTCCCAGGATCCTACCCTACAAGAAGAAAGGGTCAGAGGAATAGGCTTTATTCTAAAACAGAATCTGCAGTACAGGCAGTAGAAACCCTGGGACACTAGTAATTACACAGGACTGGTAACCGCTGACCAAGTCCTCCCAATTAATATTCCACAGTTTTCCCAAGGCCACATTCCACCATCACAAAAAAATGTCAGGCAGCACCTCACTGCCCAACTGTGTCACTGTCAGAAAGGAAATCCCAGCACTTCAGTAGATTCCAACCCTCAACAGGAGCAAACTACAGCACAGATTGAAAGATAAAGTGTGGGGCCTCCTTGGTTATGCAGGTGTTAAAGTCTCAGAGCTATCAAGCTACCGCCAGCCTGTGGCATGGCATGAGTGAGCTCACTAGCGTGAGTTTGATGCCCAGCGGTAGGGCGCCGCAGACCTCTCCTGTCTCCCCTGCTGCTCCCCTCAGCAGTGTATTTCAGTAGATCTGCCTGTTCTGCTCCCCGCTCTGCCACTGACAAGTCCTCTCCAGACTGTCCCCCCACCCCGGCCTATACCCAAGTTCTTGTATACATATATAAAAATAAATCTTAAAAATAAATAAAGATAAAGTGTGCACCTCATCATGACCACTTGCTCAGTTTCAGCTCAATGGGACCGCTGCACAGGGTCTAGGGACAAGGTGAGGACAGAAGCTCAGTAGGGGCACATTACAGAGGACACTGTGTGCGTGATTGGAATAATCACTCAGTTGGAAAGAGGAAACTAAGGAGCTTTAAAATCTAGCCTACCAGCCTATGCAGTGGGCTTCCTTTGTGTTCTACATGCATTTCCAAGGCATGGATAAAAGCTGCTGATTTTATCTTTAAAACAGTACAATCTGCTACTATGTGGGGGTGGAAGGAAATTACTCAGTGAAGTTGGTCTGTAACTCCAAGACTTTCATGAACTGAATATAACAGAAAGAGGTTGATGGCAAAGCATAAACAGCCATCATAAAACAAGAGTACTGGCAAGCGAATAAACAAAAACAGCCTCTTTCCACAGGAACTGCTCTCAGGGCTTCATGTGTCTCAGTTCACATCCCCAAAACAGATACCCTATTTAACAGTCCAGGAAACTGAGGCACGTGTTCAAGACTATACAAAATATAAAGTCAAATGCAGGCAACCTGGCTCCCAGATCCACTCCTCTACTTCCTCTCTACCCACTAGAAACACAAAATGCTAACAAGAGCAGAACTGAATGAGTGAAGGCCAGCAGATCAAACAAGCTGGCAAACTTTTATAATTAAAAATAAATAAGTTTATGTATTTATTTTAGCATATGATGATAGACTTGCCAAGAACTTGAGCCAAAATCTGGGTCAACTAGCAATTGGAACCAGCTTAAAGGATCCACAAACAAGGGAACAGTTACATAAATTATAAGATATCCATTAGAACACTATATAAGTTTTTAAAATAAACGACATGTTGAGGAATCACAAATTGTTAAATTTCAAAAAAGTTTAAATTAAAAAGCAAACACAAAATTACTTAACAGCATGAGCCCAACTTTAAAAATTTTACATAAAGATGACTAGAAGTAAAAACAACAATGTTAATAGTGGCTATCTCTTGGTGACATTATTATAAATAATTTTTATTTTCTACCTGTGCCTTTAAGTGTCTCCAAATTCTTAATGATGCAAGGGCATATAAAAAGTTTCTATTTCTGGAAAACATACTTTTAAGGGACCTGCTTTTCCTAAAATAGGAAGTAAACAAATAGGTCATCTTTTTTGCAAATAAGAAAACACTTAAAATTTTGGGCAAAGATCACAGAATTACTGAACATTATTCTATTCATTATATATTTATTATATTGGAGACCCACGTTCTTAGTGGGTCTCCAATTCTACAATTATCTATTTGATTATTAAAACAAATAACTCCTAATTCTAACACCATCTTTACTGCCCTCCCCATGAACTACCATGCTTATCTCTAATGCTCTGTGTCTCTCCTGAACTTCATGACTCGTCTAAAGCACCACCTGGCTTCTGGTCCATCTCCCGAGGTCCTCCCTCTAAGGGCTCCCAATGCAAGGCAGAACCAATCGCTTACTCCTTCATGAAGTTGGGCTGAAGAAGCCTCTATTATGGCATTCATGAGTCTGTTTTATAATCTTATTTTTACTGTAGTCTCTTAACGGATTGTGGGCTCCCTAAAACACTGTGCAGGACTTACTACTCTTTGTAGCACTGTAGCTACTGTGCTACAGTGTGTACTTTCACGAGTTCTCCAGATAACTCCTATGCAGGTTAAAGTGTGAGAAGCATGATCTAGAATAGGGCAGCCTGAGAAAGAACTAACTATCCTGCCTCTTTTACAAGCTCACAGGTAACACTGACGCTGCTAGAGCAAAGATCATGCTTTCAAGAGCAGGAGTCAGCAAACTATAGCCCATAGGCCAAATCCAGACAGTTGCCTGTTTTTGTTTCTTTGAAAGTTTTATAATAACAAAATGAACATAGTCAAGTTTATTCCCTTACATATTGTGTGGGGCTGCTTTTGCACTGTAACAGTAGAGCTGAATAGTGGCAACAGAAACATGTAGTCCACAAAGCTTTCCTATTTGGTCCTACACAAAAATGTCTGCCATCTCTAGCGGAGAGGTCTTACTCTTAAAGGTACACAATTGCCTTGTACAAATGAATGCATTTTCATGAATCAAAAAAATATCATTTTCTTCCAGTTCAACTATCCCCTTTAAGGAAAAGAACTATCAAACTTGCAGCATTATGCAAATATTTCTCCTGGCTAATTTCAAGTGATTTTTAAAAGCTTTATACTTTCCATACTCTGAGAAGGAATTTTATACAATCATTTCCCAAAGTATGTGTTTCTTACAATCATGCTTGCATTTTGTCAAGGCTACAATTTGCTAAAACCAGTACCTTGGGGGCCAAAACTATGCCCAGGTTTCTAAAATTAACACAATAATTATTACTGACTCAGTCTCTACTTTCAAAGCACTATTTTTAAAAGACACAAAAAAACTGATGTAAAAGCCCAGCTCAGAATTCTGCTTCTTATGGAGTCAGTACTAGCATGGAGGCATTCCATATATCACCAATTGAGTTCCACAAAATAAGACAGTATCAAAGAAGTTATTTGCTTTGTAAGATGTAGCCTCCAGTATTCTCTATATAGAAGTACCAGTCAAGAGGCCAGGGAAATCAAATTTTTTAATCACTCTGTAACAGTGTAGAGGTCCCAGAATGCCCCTCATTCTGCCCAACTAGCAAAAGGCCCATTAGTTAGAGAGGTCTAATTCAAGAGGTTCCAAAAAATCAAGTGCACCATCAGATGCTTTAGGTTATACGTTTTTCTTCACTTAATTTCACCCTTGGTTTATTCTCCTCACCCCAAAACCCCGCCATAAAAGATTGCCCTCCCCCATAAGTTTATAGTCTTGAGATGTTTATACAGTTGTGTATTCCTGATATCTTGGTTCAGCCAAGTTATACGGTTTTCATTTATATTCTTTCCTCATCCATCAGCCCCTCCAGCCTCTTAATCATTCCTGTGGGTCTTCTGTGAACTCTCTCCAACTGGTCCCTAGCGATCTAGTAATGAGGTGCCTCCAACTGACTGCAGCCTTCCAGGAACAGTCTTGTTAGTCAGAATAAGATGAGCTCACCCTCCTCAGTCTCATGACATAATACTCCTGAGTAGACAATCCCCCCAAACATAGAACACTAGAATGCTGCCATATTAGACTATAGCCCTATTCCAGACTTCCCAGATTTGGGCATTAGGACATGCCAGAATGTGCTAGAAGCCAGAAGATAAATAACATGTTCCCCAGCATCTAGTTACTAGAGGATGAGGTGGTGGGGAGGAAAAAGTACTTTCATGTTGAAACAAATTCACAGATAACAGAACAGAACAGAACACAAAATATGCATGAGTTTCTAAAGATAAAACATGGATATGTTCAGATATTTTGTACTTGAAATGCTGCTTAGAGCTATTTCTAGCCCTCTAGAGGGTCACATATCCATTATCCTTTACCACTAGAACTGAAAAGTCTATTTGAGATGAAAAGTTTGAAAAGAACCATAATCCGTTTTCAACTTCTGGTCTATTATCCCATTATCACCCACCTTATATACTCGAATTTTAAATAAAAAGGTTTTATGCTGTTTCCCCATCCCTCGACATCTATATTTTCCCTTAGTCTAAAACACAGATGTCAAAGTTTTGGCAAATTTAACTCACTGACTACTAACATCTTTAGGTCCTTCTGTATTACACAGTCTCTATACATTTCCTATTTCTGAGCATTTGCTGAATGTCAGATTGTGTGCTAAAAGCTAAAGCACAAGAAATAAGACAGGTTGTTAACCTCAATGAAGTTACCTGGAAGGTGGACAAGACAAAGTGGCAAGTGCCATAAAAGAGAAATAATGTCTGCAGGACAGGAAGAGAGAGTGGGGAAACCTTTAGAAGACAAACAATAGCACTGTTACTTAAGAGTGAGCAAGCATTTGCAAAGCAGAAAAAAAAGACTAATGCCTTAGGCAGAAAGAAAAGCGTAAGCAAAAGTACCAGCAAGGGAATTCAGCATTATCAAAGTATTTAGAAAGACCTCTGGGGGTTAAACAAGGATGACATATTCTAAGTGGAGTAGAGTAGTGGTCAAGAGCAATAATCTTACTACTGAGTGATCTTGGACAGAAGACATCTCTTCAGCTGACTCAAATAGAAAATGGAGATGCGGTGAGTAAAGGAAGGAACTCAGCTGCTATGGGAGTCAAGCTGGGAAGGATGAGGAGAAGGAACTGCTTGAGACCAGAAACTAGATCTAGGTGACCGTGCTACAGGAGTTCCTGGGGCAAGTGGGTCTGACATCAGGCCGCTAGACTGCCAGGGTATGAGGGTGGTTTGTCCCCAGGTCATCGCAGCCCAAGTCACAGTAAGTAAGGAAGATGGCTTTGAAGAGACCCGAGAAGCAAACTGGTTTTCCAGAGAAAATCC